AGATTTTTCAAGAGTTAAAATATTATTTTGTCTCAAATCATCCCAATATCCAAGAAATTTCATTTGATATGATAAATATCATTATGAGGGTCTCAAAATACACAATAAACACATGATATTCTACAAAGATTTTATGACTCAAATATGCCCAAAAGCACAAATATTCACAAAACTCATCAAAAGTGGGATAAACACATAAAAGTGTGTTCAAAACTCAAAATGTTGATATTTTGACATGTATATAGCTTTGCAAAGCAACTATAACTCACCTTGCTAAATTTATGCTACATCAAGATTTTTACCCCATACTTTGAGCTTTCTTTAGTGAAGACTTGAAATCTACTAGCAAGTGTTCTAAAACATAGGTCCAACCCTGCCAAAAGATATCTTACACCTCCAAAGACCTAAAACCTAAAGCAAATTTGGAAGGAGGGGAGAGGGGATGAAGAATGCTCAAAACCCCTGTCTTAAAGTTGAGAGATGAGAACGTTACCTATACCAAATACTCTTAAATCCAATAAGAACCGCTCCTCTAAGGCCTCAAATTCAGATTTAGGGCTCCAAATATCTACAAAAACGAGAGGAGAAGAGAGGGGGGAAGTTTGGGAGAAGAAATGATGAAAATTGCAAAAAATCGGGTCTTAAGAGGTTCTAGATGCCCAAGAGACCTGGCCCATGACCTAGGTTGCATGGAAGGTCGCCCCCGTTCAATCAACACAAAATAGGTCACGTAACCTTGGCCACGACTTAGGTCGCGAGCCAAGTCGCCTAGACCACATTAGCACGATGTTGTGCCACATTCCCAAACCGTTTCTCGACCGTTTCCTGACCGTTCACCAACAATCTTTCCGGATATAAATTTTAATAGAAACAACGAAATAGCAAATAGGCAGGTATAACACTATGTGTATGTCTGCTTTTTTAATTTTTTACACGTGGAAGAAAGTACAGAAGGATCAAACATGTGGTTAGGGACGATGATTTGATCTGCATTAGAGATTGAAAAAAACTCAAGGACAAAGGTTCCTTTGAATGTGTGTGTGTGTGTGTGGTGAGAGGGAGAAATAGTGAGTGAGGAAGTCCAACAGTGAGGAAGTTCGATAGTGGATGTTGCATTACTGGTGAAAAGGAGATGACGGGTTTCATCAGTGGGAAGGTGAAGGGGACGATGGTGGAGTGGCTACGATTCCGGAGAAGAAGAAACACTGACAGGGGGAGAAAAAAGTTGCAGGTGAGAGATGGATCTCACCGGACGGAGGAGGGAAAGAGACGATGGTCAACTGCAAAGATGTTCGGCGGAGGCTTGACTGGAGTGGGGGGGAGTGAGTATTTCACGGAGACGTTGGTAATCTATGGGTATTGTGTTTGCATCACACACACACACACATATAATATTATAATAATAATATTTTTAAAAATATATATGATATTAGAATATGTTACAGTTTTGGTCCCTGTGATAAAAGACAAAAGAAAGAGGTCAAAAGACAAAAATATCCTCTAGCTTAATTAGTCTAGCATAATCTCTTACATACATACATACATGTAAGTATGTATTTTTAAAAATATTATTACTATAATACTGTATGTATGTATGTATGTATGTATGTATGTATGCATGCATGCATGCATGCATACATACATACAATATTATAGTAATAATATTTTTAAAAATATATATGATATTAGAATAGGTTACAGTTTTTGTCCCTGTAATAAAAGACAAAAGAAAGAGGTCAAAAGACAAAAATACCTTCTAGCTTAATTAGTTTAGCATAATCTCTTATATATATATATATATATATATATATATACACATATATATATATAATATTATAGTAATAATATTTTTAAAAATATATATGATATTAGAATAGGTTACAGTTTTGGTCCCTATGATAAAAGACAAAAGAAAGAGGCCCAAAAGACGAAAATACCCTCTGACTTTATTAGGTTAACATAATCTTTTTTATTTCGTTAGAGAGAGGGACTTGAAGCATGCGGTTTTTCATACCATAGGTACCGAGAGTGTAATAAACGCATTTTAGGGACCTTAGTCAAACAAACCGCAAACCACAGGGACCAGGAATGTAACTCATTATATATATATATATATATATATATATATATATAATATTTTATCTTTTTAATTTTTAATAAAAAATAGACAATACGTAAATTGACCATTTTGCTCTTGAGGTAACAAACTAAATTTAACGATGTTAGTGACTGGGACCCAGGTTAAAACGAAATGCAAATTACAAGGATGCTTGGATGTACTTATTTTGAAAGATGGACCATATACAAATTTTAAGCAAACTACAAGGACCTACAATGTAATTTGCTCTTAATATAATATGTATTATATTAATTATCTATGTTTATTAAATAAAGATGAGAGAAATATGAAAAGGACCATATAATACTCCTGGTATAACCGACTTTCTTAAAGTGTTAATGAGAAGGACCAAAACCAAACGTTTTTTTACCTGTTTTCTTGTAACAAAACTTTTTTAAAGACCCCTTCCAAGCAAAACAACAAACCATAGGGACTGAAATTGCAATTTACTCTAATGTACGATTATATATTTCATTTAAACAAAAAGACTCATAAAAATTCATTTAAAGCTATTGGTTGATGATCATAAATTAACTTATTTTTTAAAATTATTAAACAAAACTTTATTTAGGGGTCGTTTACCAAACACTTGTCCAGTAAATGTTTACCGGTAAATTTAACACTATCATTTACTTACCAGGTAAGATTTTAGTCCATCAAAACAATATCGTACGCAACAATTTACCCGATAAGCGCTATGTGGTAAGAGTCGTCGCCCTCACTTACCGGGTAAAACTCTTGGTCATTGTCTCGCTCTTACCGGGTAAGATTTTTGGTCCTTACCATATCATTCGGTAAGATAATGAGACTTGATGTTCACTTACCCGAGTAAGCGTTTGGTAAACAACCTCTAATAGTTAACAATAAGTTAGCTCACAAGCTAAAATTTTAAAAACTAATTCAAGTGAATTTTCATAAGTTTCAAAGAGTTTGTTCTTATTTTTTTTAATCCCAATTATGTCTTATATTTTACCATATATGATTAATTTATTAGCTAATAGACAGTTTATTAGTTAACAGCTAACTTTTCAGCTAACTGATATATTAGCTGGTTTGAAAAACATGGAATAGTTTCATATTCACAAACATCAACATTCAAGTTCATATATTTATATTTCTAGTGTTATAATTTGACATAAAAGATGCCCAAATAGTAGGACTATAAAAAACCTCAAAATTTGTGCACCAACAGAGGATGGCTGTTCAACTCACGTGGAAGTTGTTTTGCGTATTACATATCTTTGTTAAACATAATGAATATGTAGGGTTTCATTGTCGACAGTTTGTTGCCATCGAGAGGATAAGTATTAAGAGTGAATACTGGAGTTTCTAATATGTAAACAGAATGGAATCGTTCATATATTGGCTTACGCTTGTATTTTATAGAATATGTACGAGCATAACGAAAGTTTGATTCTCAGCAGAATAGTGAGTATCAAAATCACAGACTATACTTTTCTTATCATGTTACTTTCTTTTTAAGGGCTATCCTCTTGATTGCGCTAAAACATCCCAATCAGGCCAGCCCTGCTTGATTTTGAGGTTCGAAACAAATCTATGCACTCAAATTGAGATATTTCACAACCATTGACGTCGTTACGATGATCAAAGTCTTCAAGTACTACAAACGACACATATCTTAAAGTGGAATATGGCAAGAACAAGCATCACCATACATGATGGGACAGGTTGCTTTGTTACTTCCATTTGTCGTTTTTTTACGATAGCACGAACCATGAAAAACGAATTTTCTTATCGTTCAGATCATATGCAATATTTGTCACAAAACAAATTCAACGAGCTTATTTTCCGGATGTCGTTATAAACATAAACTTACTAATGTACCCATTAATTAGTATTATGAATTAATAAAAGGGTACTCGCGCAATGCAGCGAGATACATGTCGATTTTAATGTTCTATTTTATTCTTTATCTTTATCGATGTTATAATACGATTTTATGTGTTTTTAATAATGCAATAATGATTTTATTTTGAATAAAATATAAATTTGAAAAAAAAATATCAATGTTAATATCAAATCAACTAATTAAAAATTATCATTTTTTACGTAATTTCTTTAAAAAAAATTATATTATAATTTAATTTAAGCTTAATAATGAAATAAATTTTTTTTAGTTTAATAATATAACATTTTATAAAGATAATAATTAAGTATTCTGTTAGAACTCAATGATTATCTTAATTATATTTTAGATTTTTTATATTTAAANTAATTATATTTTAGATTTTTTATTTTTAAAATATGATGTTTATCTTGTATTTGATTATGTTTATCTGCAGTTAGTTACACGAATTTAAATATGGAGCTTTAATAAGTTGTACTTACGCACAATCTATTTGTAATCTTCAGTTTTAAGTAACATGTATTAATAAACAGTATTTTATGCATAAAAAATGGTTTTTAAGAGTTTTTGTCAAATGCTTTATAATATAGTATAGATTAACAAGATTGAGTTCGTCTTTATACAAAGATCTGTTTTAACCGACACCCAGCTTCTAAAGGATATATGTCTTATTTAATGAGACGATATACTATTAAGTCATTACATCTTAATAATGATATAATAATTCTACAACCAAATGAAATGAAAAATTGGTGCCAAACCATGACACTCAATTTTGTCTCCACACATAAGGAAAGCATACAAGCTTTTGTATAATTTAGTGAAATGTACAATCTTTATTGCATAATGTACAAGTTATTAATCCATAAATTTACCATAAAAATGGAGTACATTTGTGGTCCTTGCACATCCCTCTCTAACTTTTTCTTCTTAAAAAAAGTAAAATTCCCATTCACCCCACCACTCACTTTTATCATTCATATAAATTCATACCACTTCACTTGTTATGGAAATCCCAAAAACATAAAATTAAAATGGAGACAAAAATTTACAAAGTCTCCTCTAAAGAAAAGTGGAGCATGATGAAGAAAGAACTAGTGAATGATGGTTATGGTAACGATTTGGTGGGCGGCAGCGGTGGTGAAGATGGTGGCAGTGTTGGTGGTGGTGGTGGTTCTTCGAATGGCGATGTGAAGAAGAAGAAAGGCGGTCACAATGGTGGCGGATCAACCAGTGCCACTAAGTGTTGTCAGGCCGAGAAATGTACAAGTGATTTAGCCGAGGCTAAGCAGTATCACCGGAGACATAGGGTATGTGAGTTTCACGCAAAGGCTCACGCGGTTGTTGTTGCTGGCATTCATCAAAGATTCTGTCAGCAATGTAGCAGGTTAGTCCTTGTCTTCAATATATCTAATACTCGTACCAACGTACAGATGTTCCTAAACACATTTAAACAATATTTATCTGAAAATATTTAACTATCAAATCATCATATAAAAAATCAAGTGAAGTGGAATTTAAATTTATATTTTAACTTAAAAATCATTTTATAATAAGAAAATGAAGTGGTGGAATTGGAGAAGGGCAGAATTGACCTTTTCTGGGGTTCTATTTATTTATATCAATCATTTTCAGAAATTGACATAACATATGAGATTCTTTGTAGTGGTTTATAACAAAAAAATAGCATGGTTCAAAAAAAATATCAGTGATAATATTATCGTTTTAATGAACGATTGTTAAATAGGCTTTAAACTTACACGCACCATGACACGCACAGTGTAGTGAACTTTGATATACTAATTGACGGAACCAAATAATTGTGAGGTAAAACCCCACTTACTGAACACTTCGATCGTACATTTTTACACGTACGATTCATTTAATTTACGATGAGAATATGCTCGAGTCGTACTTTATGGTAACTAACATTTTTTTACCCGACTATCTATCTCACTTGGTCACATGACCCAACAAACGACCTTACAAAATTGATAACATGGTGTTTGTGGTTGTTATTTAGCAAACTTCCACTCAGATTTAAGATATTGTTTGTTTTTTCCATTGAATATTGTTTCTAGTGCCAAATAAACAATTTGAATAACAAAAATGACCATTTTACCGCAATCTAAATTACGCCCCAGTATACGTTATTACCAAAATGCAAACTGGAAGCACTTAGAACTGAAAACAAACAACTGAACAAATGTTCGTGATCAGGTTTCACGAGCTACCAGAATTTGACGACACCAAGAGAAGTTGTAGGAGGCGTTTGGCTGGACACAACGAAAGGCGAAGGAAGAACTCAATCGAGTTTAAAGGCACCACCGATAAGGGAAGGTTCCAAATGACCATCCAAGACAATGCAGCAACAACAACTTACAACCATTTGTAGCAAACCAGGTGAAAAAGAAACCCGAAATAAACCAAGCCACGAAAACTATGCTCGCTCTCTTCTGTCAGTTCGTAGTACTTAATTAAAAACTACCGTGTTGAATGAATAATAACCGTAGGATTATGTAATAACATTATGGTCGAATTCTGGATGATATTTAAACATTATATTAACCAACAATCATAATTTGTTCGAATTCGAATTGAATAGAATGAAACAACAAATGGACAACAACTTATAAAGGGACTGTTTGCAGGTTATGTATATAATATATATCTACCATATTCAAGAGTTCTTGAACAGAGATATCAAGAACTTGCATACATCATCACCTCATATTTGATGCTGCACTTGAAGTTGCTGCAGCCACCACCATCTTTCTTCTTTCTGTTCGTTCGATAATCTTCAATTTTGGTGATTTTGGTTTCGTGACACCTTTTGATGACCTATTTCACAAAAAAGCATTCGATAAGTTTAAGATCAAACAAGGGAAAACACGTAAAAAGACTTTTTCTCTACTAAGACGTTCGTACTTTCTGGGCAAGAAAGGCTTGTTGAAATTTGGCACCGGCCTTGCATGAGGCACCAGAGTCCTTCTGAGTTGCTTTAAAGCTTTCTCTTCCTCCATCTGCACATTAAAATCCGGCCACAAATTAGATATATATGTACATATATACCGTGTTAAAATCATAGCAAATGTGGTTTCATGCATACCATCTTAGCAGACTCCGCCTCATCCCTGTATCTTTTGTACATCATCTCTTTCTCCTTGACTTTTTTGTCAAACTCTGCTCTATCCACAGCTCGGTGTACTACATGTAGATCGAATTCCTGAACCTCAGTTAGAGGTTTGCGAACTTTCTCAGGAACTGGAATGGGGTCCCTGCATTTTGAATCAGAGTCAGCATAATAATCTGGATTGCTTATAAACATCATATAGCAAATATAAACCAAAACATACAGCACCCCCAAGCGGGAGGGTTGAATGTATGCAGACTTGACCTCTGACCTTAAAAACCCTCGGGTTGTGCAAAGTGAAAGGTGTGCGGAAAAAGAATAAGAGAAAGTGTGCAAATGTTATAGCTTCTTACTCTTTCAATATTGGTTGAGCCTTAAACAGTCTCATTCTAGCTTCTTCCATTTCCAACCTCCTTCTTTCTTCCATCTCTCTTTGTATTTCTTCTTCATGTCTTGCCAAACTCTCTAACTGAAAAGGTTCTGGTTTGGTGCACTGTTTTGGCTCAGGTTTTGGAGGAACCTTCAATCATGAAATGACTTTTATCAGTTTGTTTACAAGTAATTGTTGAAATATTAAAGGAAAAGGTTATAGAAGTTTGCTTACCACAGGGTAATCGGTGGTATAAGGATATGGGGTGGCTTTAGGAACTCTAGCTCGTCCGTCTTCTATTTGTTTGTGTACCATTTCCATCACAAATCTCTTTTCTTTCTCCGCCCCTCTTTCCTCGGTGTGCAGATGGAAAGGATTGGGTGCAGTGTTTCTAGGAATCGGTTTCTGATTGTAGGAATCTGAGCACAATGAAAGCTGTAACAAAAAGTAACATAATCTTTCAGTTAGCAGATATAGATTCATAGATATAGATACACAATGAAAGATTCACACGAACCTTATCAAACAAGTCAGCAACATTTGCAGTTGGAAGCGGAATCCGTTCATCAATTGCAAAATGAAATTCTTGTGGTATGGTGACTTGTCGTTTTTTGTTACAAAAGAGACCCAACTCCCCTTTACTTTCAAATATCTACAAAAAGTATCAGAGGCAGAGTAAAGCTTATGATGCTATAGAATAAAACAGATCAAACCAAACCAAACGAACACAGTAACCCCTATGAAGCCATATAATGGATAGGCAAAAACGAGGGTTTGTTTTATTTATACCTTCTTGTTCAAAGGTCTGGCCTTGAACTTGGGGGCTTTCTCTAGCTCTTCTTTTTCTAGTTCTTCGGTGCTTTTGATCTTAGGAGGTCGTGCTCTCAATAATGTCTGTAGAGGAGGAGTCTTAGGCGTCGTAAGATGAGGCTTCCATTGCTGCTAGAAAGAAAACAACAGAAATTAGCCAAAATTCTTGGAACCGAACTTGTGAAATGAATGGGCCCTTTCGATTGTTTCCAAGAGAAATTCCTGAAATTCCTAAAACAGGCAAAGTAAATTACCTGAGGGGCTGCTTCTGTTGATGCGACGGTTGAGGTTTCTGCATTCTGATGGGCTCTTTCCATTGTTTCCAAGTGAAATTCCTGGAATTCTGGAATCTGAGGTGTGCTTCTCTTCATTGCTGGTAATGTTGGAGCCTCAAGAATCTGTCGAAACAATTGATTTCAAGAAATGTCCACTTCTGATTTCTTTAATGATATGATATTATGGTAAGATAACTTTACCTTTCTGTTGATTGGACGAGCCTTAAACTTGGGAATTTTGGCCATCATCTCTTCCTCGAGCTCTGCTGAACTCTTGATTTTAACAGAGCGAACGCGCTGAGATGTTATGAAATCAGGTTCTTTTGGCCTGGTCAGTGTCAGTTTAGGCTTTCTTTGCATCACTTGGCTAGCATCTCCCTACAGACAGAACACAATTAACAGAAACTGAGCAGATGAAATTAAACAAACTTATTAAAGATAACTGAAATGAAAAAATATATGAAGTTTACATGTGAGATTGAAGTACTACGGGGAGGCAGATTCATATCCCTTGTGCCAGATTGAAACTTCCTCATCATTTCCGCCATTGAAACAAATGGAGCTGATGCTGGCTCACGAACATACATCTTCTCATTGGAAGAACAGTAAAAGAAGTTAGAAACAAGAATCAAGATCACTTCTTTAGAGCATAACGTAACAGAGAGATTCTCAATGAAACAAACCTTTCTTTCCTCCTTTCGAGATCTAGCAGTTGATGGGGTGGCTAAGTTAGAGTTGCTGCCATTGACAGCACCTGGTCTTGCTTTGTGGAGCAAGATTTGTGTTTTGATATTCAGAATCTGAAATTTTTATGTAAAACAAATGTTATTTAAACTAGAATTCAGATATGGGATCCTAAAGAATCAATAGAAACCAATACCAACCTGTCTTGTTTTTCCTCCTTCAAGTTTCTGCCGCTTTATGGCTTGGTTTTCTAGAGCTAGATTGGGAGTTCCAACCTTATTTGCTTGACTTGTATCCCTGTAAAGATGACAAAAGAATGTAACCAAAAGAAGATAACCACAAACCACTTCGAACATAAGTATCATTTCTGGGGTCTTGAAACTAACCTTTTAACAGTAGCTGGTGTTTTAGATTTGACTTGTGATAGTTGTGATTGATTTCTAGACTTGAATGCTGATGGATTTTTCACTGCACTAGCAATCCTTCTAGCTGTCTGTTGCTTCTTGGACTCGGCTTCTGAGATACTCTTGTTCTTTTGAGAAGCCACTGCTGGTTTTGGGGTGCATGATTCTACTCCTATAGATGGACAATCCAAGTTAAATCACATCATCTACTAAGCTGATGATGTTAAATAAATACCATCGTAGAAATACCAACCTTGAGAAGGGTATGTGTTTTTTGTGGTTTGATTTTGTTCAACGATCACATTTGAAGAAGAAACTCCACCACTGAAAGAAGTTAGTGAAAGTTAAGGACTATTTATAACATCGAGCAAATTGTTGAAGGTTAAGAACAGAACAAACCTTCCAGTGTCCTGGGCCGAAACATCTTTCTCCAATTTATTATTCTTCTCATCAACACATACCTGTAATTGAAGGTGAAGAATATTGTTTAGAAATTGCAAAGCCAAAAATGATTCAGAGATTTTTGTTTGTCTACTAAACATACCTGACTGGAAAGACTTTCATGGTGCTCATCTTTTGCGTCTTTTGAGGTTACATCTTTCTTACTGTCAGCAGGATCATCCTCAGTTTTTGCACTGATTTTTGTAAGAAAAGCCAATTTAATGAATACAAGTATAATGGGACTTCCAAATAAGAAAATTAGAGGATGTAAAGGAGAACGAGTTGCACAAAGATCTGCTGACCTTTGTTTCTCTGGTTCCAAGGTGATGTTCTTCATGGTACTTGATGTTCCTGTTGACTCAGATGGTCCTGGTTCCTGCAATTAAAGTTTAAACATGAAAGTTGTAAACAAAACAAACAATCAACTTGTGTATGATAATGAAGACGGGAATGGGTCGATTCAGACATATTATGGTGTATTACCTTCTGAGAAATTCCAGGTTCAGTAAAATCACAAAGGCTCTCCAACTGAACAGCTCTTGTGGTCTTGACCTTGTGCATAAAAGCTGTATAAAAAATAATCAAGCATGAGCCATAACTGATAACATCACCATAATGAAACAGAAACTTTAAACCAATTCAAGGGTTTGGCTCATTTTGATCCCTTTAAAGTTTCTGGGTGAGTCATAACAACAGCTTATCAAAAACAAGCGTTCAGTTTCAACCCATTTTCTTTGCGATCATTCAAAGCTATCAAGAGAAACTTTAAACTGTTCTCACAGGTCAAATCATTGTGAGAATCAACTAAGAGAACCAATTTTCGCAACAGCATATCTGACGCAAAAATTGACTTATTGGGGACTTCAAGATCCACTAACAGTGAAGCGAAGACAAGAAATAGATGGGCCGAATCCATAATCTTGATTATAACCCACAGAACTTCTTAGCAAGAGACATAACAACGATTGAAGGATATGAAATCATTATTTTAACCCCAAACGAACCAAGGAATCAAGGTGAAGAATGAAGAACAACAAATATCATATTGCAGTTAAATTTAATTAGAAACCCTAATCCCCTAAAATCAACCAGATAACAAACAAAATTCAACATAGAAACGTGAGAAACAACGTACGTGAAGGAGCATACGTAAGAGCTGTATCAAACCAAAGCTGCGCTTCACGCATCTGATCTTCAGTTTCTCCTAGAATGAAATCAAAGAATTTGGGCGCTGAGAATTCGTATTCTGCATCGATCACCACATCACCTGAGTCCTCCATCATTGCCGCTTGATTCAAAAGCTTCCAACTTGAAAAACAAACACGAAGTGAAATGGATCGAGAGAAGAAATCTTTTATTAGGGTTTGGAGGGTTTGAGAACGAGAGTGGGGGAAATGCAGAGGGAATTTGGGGAAGGAGAAGAAATAACGTTCGGATGCTTCAACGGTCGAATTGTTTGAAAAGTGAAGAGAGAGAATAGCATTTGTAAGAGTTAAGACCCGTTTTCACAACGGCTAGAAAGCGTGACCAGAACGACGTCGTTACGACAGAGCCTAGACCATGGAGAACACTTTCATTTAAATATATATAAAAGAGTAAAATACAAATTTGGTCCCTTAGGTTACATGAAATTTTGGATTGGGTCCCTTGAACAAAATAATTACAAGTAAGGTTATCATGGTTTCCTTTTTATTATGAATCGAGTCACTTGTCCTAACTTTATTAACCTAATTCCGTTAATTATGGGTATTTTAGTCATTTTGTTATTTCTTTTATATTTGTTTTAATGTACAACTTGACTTCTGTAAGAACAGAAGATATAAACCAGTGATTCCAGTGAATCACTCAAGGATTCAACAAGAACAGAACCACACAAGGCTTTGATACCATGAAGAAAACATTAACCACATCATACATTTCATGTTTACAATGATTACAAAAGAATATGAAACGAAAACCCTAGATCTGTATAAGAAACTTAGGTAGAATAGCTAAGAAACGAGAGAGAAAACTAGAAAGATCGTAAACTAAAACGAGATGAATTATGAAAAGAAAACTAAAAATAAGACTATATATTAATTAGGAATTTGCAAATTCAGTCCCCAATGAATGAAGAACGTTACTCCGCTACCCTCCAAGATCTCCAAAAAGTGAGGCGTGGTCCTTCTACTTCAAGATTTTGACAACATCAAACCCTCAAGATAATAATACTGTTAATAATATAACAAAAATTAAGATTGTTAAAACATATCATATTTTAACATAAATCCTCAAAATAATGAAAACATATAACTTATAGATTGTAATCCACAAAAAATTTAGATCATTTTAAACTTGGGATTAAGGGGTTAAATAACAACGCTAGTTGGTCAACCCACCAGGCCACCATTGCCATCAAACTTTACTTGAATCTGAAACCAAAATTGGGGTTCACTTGGTTTCTAGAACCAAATCTAGGGTAGGGGATGAGGTTTCTTGACAAGGGGGGTTTGGGGGTTACACCATCATAGAGTTGGGGTGGTCGAAGATGGCAAGTTGGCTAGAGAAGGAGATGTCGTCGGTGGTTTGGGAGTATAACCACCATGAAT